CTCTGATTACCCCCAAGTACTCTATGTGACATGAAACATTCAAAAACCGTTCTAAAACTGATCTAGCATAAAGTTCTAAAAAACGGCCTAAAAACGGTCCGTTAACTAGCTGTTAACGGCCAGTTAACGACTTGTTTACTGGGCGTTTTTCTGCCGTTTCCATAACGTTAACGCGCCGTTTTTTGTGTTGACCGTTTACTGGAGATTAACTGGCCGTTAACGGGCCGTTTTTTTGGACCTGGGTGTGCATCCAGGCGGACTTTTGGTGAAAAATTGAAAGTGCGCTTTTCCGTGATTCAAATAGTGATTTATATACTTTGGACCACGCTCTGTTCGTGACGAAAAAGGTTTTTCTTATGGCATACTTATGTTGGGAAAATCATATACACAAAAATTACGCTAAAAAAAGAGGCTCTGTTGAAAAACTGAATTAAACGCAAAAGTAAGGTAAGAGGTCAACTAAACAAATATATATTTTTAATCTTTGTCAAGTCCTCTATCGATTGCTAAAAGAAATTTCTAGTTTATGAGTTTTCAAGATGGAAAAAAGTTATTGTACATTTTATTAGCGCGTTTTCCAAAGAGAAGCATTCAGTAAAGTACATGCGCGAAGAAAAGCGAAACTCCAATTAAGATGAAACTTTCAGGAAATGTTGAGCGATATAGGACACGTGCACACAGTTAGCAAAAAGTAGCGAAAAGTTTCATGTCCTGAGTTGCAGGTTTTCCAAAAACCACTAGTTTTTGAAGGTATTTTCCATTTATCTCGACGGAGAAATGTTTATATTATATGAAAATGATATATTCAGAATCAGCGCAAAAAACTGCCTCGAATGATATATAACTGCGTAATTTTTCTGCAGAAATATTTTCGATCAAACTGAATTATACAGTTGAAAGCCTCACTGGAGCAAATTTTGCCTGGGGATTTGGATATTTGATTTAGCAAGAGTCCAAAAGTCTATAAACACTTTCTTTATAGGTTTTCAGATATGCTCTTTCCAATAGAGAGCTTTATAAAGTTCCAGAATACTTATGTGTGGATTTTCTAGGGATCTGGTCTCTGAAGAACCCAGCTGAAAGTCTCTTTGAACTTTGTAAAACACAGCATTGGAAAGAGCATATTTGAAAACCTGTAAAGAAAGTGTTTATAGGCTTTCGGAATGCTTCCATAGCACATGTCCGCCTGGCCTATGGAAAAATGCACACTGTGTTACATAACTTTTTTTGTTGAATATCATATATATTAGACAATAGAAAATCTTTTCTTTCCACTTACTACATAGCTTTTCATTTTGAATTTTGCGACAGCACTGTTCATAATCAAAAACAGTGGTCAATAATTTCATCAGATAAGATACCTCTTTATCGGTGTTTATTTCTTTCAGAGTAAATTGTTGAGTAGAAGAAGTTGAGTTTCTTGTTATACACTTTGGATACAAGTCAGAAATTTCTAGCACAACTAGATGTAGATGTATTTGAGAAAACATTTTTATGTCTAAATAATGTTTCGTTGCTGAGATATGAGGAAAACAGAAAACTGAGGTGTATAGTATAAAGTTACCTATGAAGAAATTCAAATCGCTTCTATCCCAGAAAGCACGCTCGGTCAGCTCAAATTCTTTTGGGCTTTTCCTCATCATTATAGACCCTATAGATTGGCAAAAGATGAGCACGATTGGCGTGAAACACTTGGAAATGTCCCCCCGTGAGTATAGCGAAATATGTGAATAGACCTAGTTTTCTCATTTTGAACGTCTAGGAGAAAAATTGCTTTGTAAATGCTCTGTTTTGGTTTAATAAATTATTTAAACTTGCAGCTTTGAATAGTGTTTAAATTTGTTATATTTACAAGAGTGATGATCCAATTTCAAAAAAGGATCTTATGTATTATTATTTAGCACCAAGATAACAAAATAGACCTGAAAACATTGGGCGCTTTCAGTAAAATGACAAAAAGTGGATAAACCTTTCACGCTATTTGTTAGCAATTTAATTTTTGCACTCTTTTTTACAAGTTTACGTTAAACTTCTTAATAAAAGCGCACTATGCAAGAATATATTCACCAATTTTACTCTATAAGCAGAATTCATTGATCCCCTTTGGATTAAAATTTGGAATAAAACAACAAACAGATTACAATAACAGAAAGAAAGAAATTTCCTTTTACCTGACGAACACACATACAAACACACACAAAAAGACACCTTTCAGACCTTCTTCATTTAAATTACAACGATTGTTTTGACGAACCGTATGTCACGTATGATATGAAATGTAGATTAAATTGATTATGTGTTGAATCTTTATAGAAGTCTCAGACTGAACATCGAGCACATGACGAGAATCTGATAAACGTATATAATCTAATATTTTAATACAGAAACAGTTTTAGAACTTGTACTTATATAAATTTTTTCTGACCTATACATTAACCATTTTCAAAAAACGTTTTTAAAAAATCGATTTCAAATCGACGATCGATTGCTCTGGTACTACTTGGCTAACCCTGTTTCAACTTTAATCTGGCTTGATTTCTATTTGAGGTATATCTATTAATATTATAGCTCTACAGATTACGGAAGAATAGCGAGTTATTTTGCAATTGTTCGAGAGTGACACGGTCAGGGGGAAGATGTAGTTCTTCCAAGTTAAAGGCATATGACCTTGCAAGAAAAAACCATCGGTTATCTTCATCTTATTGTGAAAATTTTAGAAATATGCCGAAAACTCCATATGTACCGCGACAAACTCAACTCTCAGCATCATATTCCGGTGGCTCAATCGCTAGTGTAAGTTATTCGTTCAATATCAGAAAGAAAAAGACTCATTCTGGCATTTCGCCAAATGGAAAACCAGCTGATTTTTTTCTTCCTTATATTATTTTTGTTTACACTTTTAACTGACTAAATACTTCAGCTTGTGTGAGAAAAAAGGAAAATGTGTTTTTGAACAATGCATGAAGAGAGAAAACTTCGTCACACGTAACGAAAGTTTACGACATTTTTGGGGGAGTATCATCCCACACGTTGGTCACCAGAGTGATGAACTTTCGTAACCAACTGTGTGATATACCTACAACTATTGTCACATTCCATCGCAAACTTTCGTCACAACTAAAAAAGAACTTTCGTCACATTAATACTTTGACTTTAGAAAAAGACTTCAAAAGTTTATTCGTTTTGCTAAAAAAAGGCAGTGTTAGTTTCCACTACAACACTTTGGACTAATGAACTTTGCACTACAACCTTGACTTCATCACAGCCGTTTCATGCAACGGGTGACGAACGTGTCGACCTGTTTAAAAAACCAAACACTTTCGTCACATAAGAGGTTAACTTTCGTAACCACTATGCAAACACAGTTACACTTTCGCCATATGCCGAGAGAATTTTTGTCACTGAAAACAGAACTGTGACGAAAGTTCAGCCTTACCCAATGACGAGAGTGTATGGTGACGAAAGTGCTGTGAGATATTGGGGCAGATGTACTTATATCCAGGATGTGCACAATAAGCACGAGTCTGTTAAGTTTTGACGTTATATTATAAAATTTATTTAAGCTCCATCATACCCGTTCGTGTGGACCAAAGTTCTAATCCCACGTTGTCCAGCGGCTTTATACGCTAGCTCTTTTACTTCTTAGGTCATGATCCTGAAGGATGAAATGTCACAAGATCTCGACTTTCTTAAATGCAAAAACTTTCACTAGGACTATGTCCGACTCATCTGACAAATAAAAAACTCTATTGCTGCAATTTATTAAGGGCCCCCCACCCCTCCAAAAAAGCATTTTTCAACAGAACACTCGATTTGGACATTTATGCATAGTTGTATAGCCCAATATATCTGCTTTCGAATGCACTATGATTTATTGGTTCTACGATGATTTTTGAGGGTTTTACAGCGGTTTTTCTGAGGCACCCAACATCAAAAACTGCTTGATTTTTATGGTTTTTCCGTGGGAATAACGCTTACATATGGCAAAAAGTACGTCGCACATGTGTCTACATGTGCTCATTCGATTCGCCATAGGCGATAACCTATGACGAACTGCTCTCAGTCTTTTTTCTGTACCACTTTCCAAAAAAAAACCGCGATAATCAAAGGAGAAACTCCTTTTGCGTTTTTCTCGAAACTGGCTTTTTTGTTTTACCTGATTGTGCGTCAAAGATTTCTCCGCCATTTTAAATGTTAGAAAGCTCGGGAAGGTTTTAAAATGAAGGTAAATATCAGCGCTACAACCTAACAAAATCGGAATTTTTGTTTTCAATTTATTTGTTTACAAAAAACTCGAGTTTTCTAAAAAATTAATCTAGGTTTTTCGAAAAAACTGTCTAAAAAAATTAATTTTTTTTTCTTCAAAAATCCGGCTTTGTTAGGTTGTAGGGGCAGGTCTTCTCTACATTTTGACACCATCCCGAGGTCCGTATCATTAAAATTAAAAACAAAATCTTTGACACACGAACACCTACTTTTTGACCCTTGATCTTACAATAACTCGCGAAAAACTCAATATTATGAGCTCAAATTTTTACTGAAAACTATCAATGGTCAGATACATATGCAGTAAAAATTTCAGTAAGATTGGGTGTTCTGGGAAAAAAAAATTAGAGGGGAGGGGGGCCCTTAAGTCCTACTTTGATAACTTCGTATGTATGGCTTAGATCTATATTAACCATCAATTGAACGTAGACAATTGAGCGGATCCGTCATTAGAAAAGGTCTTTTATTCAAAGATAATTCGGTTCTAAACTGATGAACGGAAATTGTTTAGAACTTAAGTTCTACATAATTAATACATTAATTAGAGAAGACCCATTTGTATTCTTTGTGTGAAGTTAGTACAATGCGAAATAAGTTTAGAGGGAACATTCTTTTCATTGAATATACAAAAGATGAACATATAAAATTTGGCCTTTACTTATTTTATTCTTAAACCATTAAAATATTTTTGGTCTGTATCCCATGAGGATATTCTAGATACATTTATTGCGCGATAAGTGCATGTTTTTTCGGGACCGTCACGGAGTTTTTTCAGCTTCAGTGATAATTATTTTATTTCGATAACGTAGCTCATTACCACGATAAAGATTGTTTACGATAATAACATTATGGCAATAAAAAAGGTTACTTTGACCGATAAATAATTTATTGCCATTACTGCAAAAACGCCGCGACGGCCTCGAAAAACAAACACTTGTTGCGCAATAAATGTATCGAAAATATCCTCATGGTTCTCCCATAAAAACAAATGTCAGTTTTAAAGTTTCTACATCATTTTGTATTTTCTATCTTCCGATGAGGATATACTACTACTAATTGTGTAATTGCAGTAGTTAATGAGAATGGGCAGCACATTTATCCATTGTCCGTGAATTTCTGATTGATTCATGCACACATTTCAGAACTTCTTTCCGTGAGCGCTTGTTCGAATTTTTGCTTTCGAACTGTCTCTTCTCGCGAATTATTTCTGAAGAAATGGATCTGGTCAACTGTTAGTCAATTTTAGTTCTATTCTACCCTCGAAAGAGTCAGTGTGCCTTGCATATCTTGATGTTCAATGGTAGTTTAAATCTTTTCAATACAAAAGATAACAACCAACGGTTGAGTTTTATTTATAGGGAAAATTATATCCAAGCACTCCGAGAACAGTTACTCAAACAAATATAAAATCATTACGACAAGTCAAAAGTAAACGAAGGTAAATACCGAATATTATTATATCCACAGTATCCGTTTTCTTTCGTCTAGTTTTAAATTTTCAAGACCGAAATGGATGACAAAAAGATTTTTAATTATTGCTGGAGTTATCTCATGTATAGTAATTATTGCAGCTATTGTTATACCAATAGCAGTTATATTTAGACGCGGTATGTACTTCTCAATATGAAAAACAATAATTACGTGGTGAAATTGTAGGTACATCGGCGACAGTCACAACAACAACTGCTCCTACTCTAGTCGTTGCCTATTGGGGATTTGACCAGAATGCATATGAATTATATGGTAATTATAATGGTACAACAAATTGTGGTTCATGTCAATATAGCACGACAAGTTATTTTGGTGGCTATTTTTTTTATGTATATGGTGTAGGCTACTATATGCAGGTTCCAGCTACATCCTATTTTAATTTAAATTCAAGAAGTTTTACATTTGAAGCGTGGATTTATTTACAGAGTCTATCAGTTGGTGATCAACCAATATTTAGTCAATGTACATGTACAACATGTTCAAATCAATGTTTAGTTTTGATGATTCGAAGTAGTAAGCTTTTTATGACTTTTACTTATAATGATTTATCTGGTACAACTACATTAGCAACGGGCACTTGGTATCGTGTTACATTTGTTTATAATTATTATACATATCAACAAATTATTTATATCGACGGTGTACAAGATGCAGTTCGTACGAGTTCGTCACACTATCTCGGTACAAATGGATCAATGTATTTCGGATATTCACCACAATTACCATCGAATTATTATTACGGTTTCATTGATAGTGTAACATTAAGTTCAACAGCTAAAACTTCAACACAAGTACTAAATGATGCTACTGTAATATTCTATTATTCATTTGATCAACCATCGCCCTACTATGATAATGGTCCATATCATTTAAATTATACATCTGCAAATAATTTAGCTATTACATCAGGAAAATCGGGTCAAGCTATACGTTCAACAAGTACTTCTAGTTATCTAACAATTTGTTGTTGGGGTACAATTGGTTATCCTACTACTAGATCGCTTTCAGCTGCTATATGGTTTAATCCATCATCTATAAATGGCGGTGTTTTTGTCTATAGTCAAAATGGTATAAATCTACTTGGTTTGACATACAGTGGACAAATTATTGCACAAATCTATGCATATCAACCTGTACAAACTTATTACCCTATCATTGGATCATTTGCAACAATTAGTACTTGGACACATGTAGCCTTTACTTTCAGTGTAACAAACGGACTAATTTTATATATAAATGGTGTAGCACAGGGATCAATAACAGGTATTACACAATATTATTGGGCTTCTAATCAAGTATCACTACAACTCGGTTATGGTAATGGTAATCAATATGGTTATATACCAGGCTATGGTTTTCAAGGTACACTTGATGAATTTTATATTTATAGGAGAGAACTAAGCTCATCTGATGTATTAACATTAGCCAGTATATAGTAAAAGTACTTTTTTCGTATGTATATGTTATAGTGGAAATCAAAATTCAGTGAAATTTAAAATTCCACTAATTGAAATTGAAATTTTAATTTGTACTGCGCCATTCCATGTAACAGTCACTCTTTATGTCTAAGTTTTGAAAAGAAGCTGTTTTCATTTACATTTTTTTCCTATTTGTTGCAATAGTTTTAAGGTTTTGAGCACATGATTAAATAGAGACATTTTTTGAGATCAACAAATGTCACATTAATTCACCGCTCGTTCATTCTTGATGGAAAAAAATGGAACTGCGAAAGCATAGTTATTTGTAAAATGCGTGACTCGAAAAATTTAGAGTAAAATAACTTGAACAAGCAGCAGGATGGCTTGACCAAGCCATACTGCTACCGCAATGTCGTTCCATATCGGTTTTTGTACGTTTTTTTTCTTTCATACTTTTTGAAAGAAAGCAGATCCAGAGCACGACAACGTCTGAAAGTAAAACGAAAACTGTGTTTAACATTTTGAGATCTTTTCACACTGTACATAATCTTTCGTTCAAAAGTTGCGATAAAAATGCAAACATCTACTCTTCAAAACTCATTATTCGAAAATGTAAGTGTTAAACCAATCTTAAGAAACGCATTTTACACACAAAACAAGTTTTTACAGGTCTTTGCCGAATTCGAAATGATACTTTTTTTGGAGCAATTGTACGAAAATCAAGAATATTTCTCCCACCGTTCTTTTTTGCTTAGTTTGACAGAGGACACTTGAATGCATAAGGCTCCGTATAAATCACATTTATAGAAGTCTTTTTACCAGTAGAAATATAAGGCAAAACCCACCGCAAAAGAAAATAAAAGAATGATGTAATTCCGTCACAGAGCCATTCCGCTTGTATCTTTTTATTTAAGCATTTGTAAGTGAAAGTAATGTGATGATTCGAAAGCTCTTTTAATGCTCTACAACTCTGATATTCAACTTTTTTCTGAATATGTCTCGTTTTTAGAGCATTTTTCAAAGTTTGTATAGCACTAGAAAAAAAAAAGGCTAAACAATATAATTCCTTCACAACATCTATTTGGCTCATAAAAAACGTTCTACCTGACCGGGTAATTCTAAAATTTTACTACAAACTAAGCATTCTACTACACGTCTCTGATAAAAATTTCGTCATCTGTTGTTTAGTATTTGAGGACAAACAAATCCCAAAAGTTGAAAAAATGTAATTCCGTCACACGTGTTTATGCCGTCCACTTTTTTTTTGCTCAGTATGGTCCTATGGGAAGCGGAAAACTACGAACATTTGATTTTAGGTGTTTTCGAATGGTTATAGCCGTTTCATTCAGATCGGATATTCATCTGTGTGCCTGTGTTTTCTCTAATGGAATATGTAACAAGACGTTTTGCGCAAATATCTCTCCGATATTAAACATTTAAGATTACTCAAAAAAATCACTCTACTAGTTTTAGTATATGGACTCTCATAATTCATAGTAAATGCCACAAAACTGATCAAATATACTGTTTTGTAGGAATTTGCTATATTATGAGATATTTCAAGATCCGAATGGTACGGTAGTTTCGAAGAAAATGTACAATAGTTGCGCGCATGGTGAAAACATGTCAGCTTAAGCCCACGCCTTGAAGCGGACTTTTATTCATCACTAAAAAGCATTTCAATGTTTTTCTATTCAACGCACCGAAAACGGGAATTTTTTACCGCTGCAAATTACCTCAAGAAAAAAAACTGGTTGCCACAAGCGTCAGATATATCGAAATTATGTGCATTGAATTCTCAGAAATGTCTAAAAGGTAAAGGATGGTGTATTGTGCAAAAGACTAAAGTAAAGCTTTTTGCCGTTCTGAAATATTCTATTCTATATTATTTCTGAGACAATTTAGTTTTTTGATAATGTAGATTTTTGTTCGGTAGAGAATGAAATTCATATCACCGAGACAATAGTAGTAGTTTGTTGTATGAGAATATTCTTTAGCTTTTGAAATTGATTCTATGTTTGCATGAGACAGTCTAATAAAACAAAAAAGCTTGCACATCTGTCTGAATTGGAACCATAGCTCTTACAAGCAGGAGTTGTGCAGGTAACAAATAACACCGCGTAACTGCATATTAACAGTCAGTTTTACTGCATTATATATCAAAGTTTTGTGTTCTTTTTCGTCTTGATTAACGTTTATTTTCGAGAATAATTAAGGCGGTGAGTGGAGGGGCACGGAGTAAGATAAGATATTATTCAGTTCGTTTTCTAAATAGAAAAGGTGTAGACTTTGTGTTTCGAATAAAGTTGTTTTGTTTGCTGATATATTTCTTTTTCTTTCTGTTTACCTCTCCTGTTTCTCGACAACGGTAAATAAGTGATCAACTCAAGATAAGTGAAACAACTTTAAATTTGTTTAAAGTGTATTCTTTTCAACACAAAAGAATAGTGACAATTATAGTGTGCACATGTGTTTTTCAAAAACAACACATTAAGAAGGTTAAAATATTAGAAAAAAAATTTTCTTATATTCTTTTACCGTTGCCGAGAAACAGGAGACGTGAACAGAAAGTAAAAGAAACATATCAGCAAACCAAATAACTTCATTCGAAACACAAAGCCTAAAACGTTTCTCTTGAGAAAAAGAGCTGAATAATAAAGTGCCGCGCAAAAGTTTAGGATCACTTTTATTTTTGAATTTTCTCATGAACTAAAGTAGCTAGAATAAATCTGAGAACAGATTTATGTAGAGAACACCTTAGAGTATGTAAGCATGTAAGAAGAAAAATTTTCATTTAACTTTAGTAGGCTTAAAAAAGATGAAATTTTAAAAATTTAAAAGTCTCAAATTTTCAAGCTTTTTAAGGTCAATTAAAAGTCATTTCCGATCATTTAGCAAAATAGAGCAGACGTTTTTCGTCAAGTTGAGACCATGTGTGACTCGGTGTGACCTTCCTTTAATGAGTTATGAATTTTTCTCGGAAAGCATCATACCGAAAAATCCTGGGAGATCGTTAAAAAAGTGCAGTTTTCAGTATAAAAAAAAGGCATCGGTGCATTCCGAAAAAAATTCATTACTCATTGAAGGAAGGTCACAAAATTTTAAAATTTCATTTTTTTTAAGGCTACTAAAGTTAAATGAAAATTTTTCTTCTTACATGCTTACATACTCTAAGGTGTTCTCTACATAAATCTGTTCTCAGATTTATTCTAGCTACT